GGTAGCCAATATTCGAATGGAACTCAGTCTATGCTGTTTCAGCCACTGATGTGAAATGAGACAGTCAATGCTCTATCAAAAGGCACCAACTTTCTCTGGGTAGACATTGGGATTAGCCCTTAACCTAGCCCCTCCATCCTAGCTGTGTTCCATAATCAGACATGTGTCATGACTGCCAGAGGGACTATAGAAAGCCTTAGACTCAATCAGGTTGACCTGCATCCTTCGTAATTCAGCTTTGCTTTTACAGTGAAAATACAAAAAGTGTCCCACTTCCGCTTCGGTAGTTTGTTGTGATTTACTGTAATATGTTCTGTACATAGCGATTACCGATGTTGTTTCTGTAACGATTACCGATTTAACGGCAAAGACTGCGATAAAATTTAAATTTCGTACCTTTTATGCAATGAAACTAACAAAAAATGTATTATTTCCCTTTGCCCCAAATTATCATATTTAAAAATAGAGAAAACTAAGTTTTATCATAGGCAGCCCAAAACGGCGTGTAGAATGCACCAATAATGCTTCCAAATGTCAATTTGCATTAAGCTCGCCCCATTCCTTTGTCATTTGTCGCGCGCCGCAAGCACTCAATTTGAAAAGCAGTGTTGATATATATAGATTATACCTAAGGTTGGCAACTATATCTCAACTGACGAATATACCACTTCGGCAAAACGCAAAATACTTCGCACACGTAAAACAAACATGATAAAAAATTATACCACATTGAACTCTGATATTTTTTCTACATACCCGCATATAAATTTTGTTTTCAAGACTGCAGGAAAGATGAAAAATTTGCACAAACGTTTCATGGTCTGATGAAAATTTTGTTGTACCTATGCGGGATCACAGAATAAAGACATACAGAAGTGTATCTTCTTATTAAAAGTGCGTAAGGGATTTTTTCAGTCCGCCATGTTCTTAGCAAGTGCCCTAAAGAGAGGCAGTCACCCTCCTGAAAACATATTGAAAATTTAATATTCCAGGGGGGTGAATGCCTCTCTTTAGGGCACTTGCTAAGAACATGGCCGCCGGCTATTTCGGTGAAAGCGCCTTACGGTTTTGTAATGGAAGTTACACTTCTGTATGTCTTTATTCTGTGGCGGGATGCTAGAGGTTATTTCATTCGTCATATTTTCAAAAAAATTATGCGATTCAATTGGTTGAAAAAATAAACAGTTTGTGACGTATTTATAGTAAAAATTTGGTTTCAGGGGGGTTGAACTACAACAGGAAGACTGCTAAAATACAAGAGCGATTTTTTTTCGAAGATGAAATGGTGGATTTTAAAAACTTTTTACATCCATCCATAACTTTTATCTACAGCAAAACAACCAGATAACTTTTGGCTACATGTACACGAAATGTCATGAAATTCTGAGCAATAATGGCGAAGAAAATGTGCTATAAAAAAGACGGCGATATGTAATGCGAGCACGTTTGTTGTGAGGTGCGAACCTTGCTCGATAAAGTGTATATAGGCAGTGAATTTAGTTATAGCGTTTTTAATAATTTAACTTGGTTCAATAAGTTGGATAAATTTTTCCGTTTAATACTGAGTGAATGTGTTCACAAAATAGGCTGCAATTTGTAAGAGTGCTAGCATTATTTTATATCCCAGCATGGAATTTTGCATTTATATATAAATAATCTTGTATCAAAGTTCTGAAAGTTTAATATGTATTCTATAATAAATGCCTAAACATCTCCCTAGTTTAAACTTTAAAGTACACATTAGTTAATAAAAACTAGTGACTGTATCTATTACTGTGAATACGTACTGTCTTTACACTGATGATAAATAAAACAGGCCAAAATGCAAATTTGTTTTCATATAAAAACAGTTTTATAGTGATATAAAAACAGTTTTACAGAATTCACTTCGAAATATTCTTGCTATAGCTATTTAAAATTATAACTACTGTAGAGATCCAGTATTTAATACTGAACACTTGATTACTAGGAAAAATAAATGATCCAACCTATTGTTCCGAGTTACAGTATTAAAAACGCTATAAAATAAGTTCATACCTATAACTTTTCTGAGCTTCACAACGAAGCGTGCTCGCATTACATATCGCCGTCTTTTTTATAGCACATTTTCTTCGCCATTATTGCTCAGAATTTCGTGTACATGTAGCCAAAAGTTACCTGGTTGTTTTGCTGTAGATAAAAGTTATGGATGGATGTAAAAAGTTTTTAAAATCCACCATTTCATCTTCGAAAAAAAATCGCTCTTGTATTTTAGCAGTCTTCCTGTTGTAGTTCAACCCCCCCTGAAACCAAATTTTTACTATAAATACGTCACAAACTGTTTATTTTTTCAACCAATTGAATCACATAATTTTTTAAAAAATATGACGAATGAAATAACCTCTGGCATCCCGCATAGTCACATCAAAATTTTCATCAGACCATGAAACGTTTGTGCAAATTTTTCATCTTTCTTGCAGTCTTGAAAACAAAATTTATATGCGGGTATGTAGAAAAAATATCAGAGCTCAATGTGGTATAATTTTTTTATCATGTTTTATTTACGTATACGAAGTATTTTGCGTTCTGCCGAAGTGGTATATTCGTCAGTTGAGATATAGTTGCCAACCTTAGGTATAATCTATATATATCAACACTGCTTTTCAAATTGAGTGCTTGCGGCGCGCGACAAATGACAAAGGAATGGGGCGAGCTTAATGCAAAATGACATTTGGAAGCATTATTGGTGCATTCTACACGCCGTTTTGGGCTGCCTATGGTTTGCCTCGGCAAAAAAATGCCGAGGCAATTCCACCCGTTATACCTTGAATTAAAAACTACAGCGTCTGTTCGTTTTTTTTTCTTAAATTTAGAAACTACAGTGCTCGTTACACTTCTTTGTTCGAATTGTTGTCATCGACGTCGGGTGAACAACACAAGATTTCATTCACAGCTACTTTACAAAATATTTAAGTTTGAGCTTTTCAGCGTCGGCTTCGGTTGAAATAAAAAACAATCTTGATGGTTTAAAGACGGCACGTCGAGAAACTTTGTTTTATCTTTTAGACTGTCGCGTGATTACCGTCAAGTTTATTCTTTCATACAATTTGTTGTTAATTACCACTAACTTTTTAAAAACATTTTGAATCAGGAATTTGTAAAATAACAACAAATTGTCAAACGTCAGAATCCAACGCTCGTTATATTTGTTTACAATAATTTCCGTATGTACAGGCTTTACTTTAATTACAACTGCCGAAGTGATTGCCGAAGGGTGCCGAAGTAATTGCCGAAGGAATTTAAGGTGATTTCATTGCGTGCCTCGGCAAAAAAAATTGCCGAGGCAAACTCAAAAATCATCGAAAGACTTCGGCAATTATTTGCCAAGGCAAAAATAGTTGAATTTCGAGGGTTGTAAACTTTGCGTGCTTGAATTTTGCCAAAACGATTTCACCAAGAACGCTTCTTTGAAGATCAACTGAAAAAAAAACTGGTACCGCATTTGACCGGTCAGAAATGGACCTTACAGTCACCCTAACCGGTGTATCATGAAGCGATATTTTGGTCCCTGTTCTTACATTGTTACATTACAGTACAGTATATTCCAGTACAGTACAATACAGACTGCAGTACTCACTGGTAATAAACATGACCACATTGGCAAAGAAACTAGTTGTTGAACTTGTTCACGAATCACATCCGTTTCCTAAATATTAAAATCCAATGTTAGGAGTTACTAACTATCCACTGTGCATAAAACATTCAATGTTTTGTACTTACCAAACTGCTAAAGCAGTGAATCAGAAAACGTAAGATCACAACTTTTTCTTTGATCGTAACAGACTGAAAGAAGAAATACAAATATTCCATTTGGATGGATTGAACATAAACTTTGAAATGCTGTAAAAATATATACCGTATCTATGTTATCCATAGATATCTTATATACACGAGATAGCGCATCTAGTTATTCTGCAATTCAAAAATTGAAGCCGTGATTGCAGTCTCAGGTCGTTCCCATGAAATGAAAAGATATGTATATTTTCTATTTCTTAAACAGGGAACTTAAACATTAAGTAAAAGCTATTCCAAATACATTTTAAAACTATTCAAATGATGAAAGTTATTGTTATTTTTAAGCGTTTATTAGTGAGTGGGAACGACCAACATGGCCGCCATCTATTCAAATGGGGTAACCGCTGGAAAATTCTTGGCTTCAATTTCACTAATAGAGATGCGCTATCTAGTGTATATAAGATATCTATGATGTTATCTCACATTGTACCTCTTCAAGCAAACTGATGTCTAGAACATGTCGAAAAAATCCTGGAAATTGCTCTGGCTTTGATTTGAAGATCTAAGGGAGAAAGAGCATCAAATAATCTGGAATGAATATGTTTCTACAAAACAATAGCATTTTTCAAAATGCTTTCAATTTTCGGAGTATCTATTGTTTTGTATTTTATCAAAATACTCAGTGGTTTCTGTAATTTCTGGAATATGTTTCTGCATTACATGTAAATGTAGGTCATTCCAAAAATATCCATACCTCCTCCACAAAGGAAGCCCCTTGGGCGTAAAAAAAAATACCTGTGGTTCCGATTTCATATTGTGAAAAAATTAGGGTCGGTAAATCGGAAATAATTTTTTTTTGAATATTTTTTTCATGGTTTTGGCGTTTTTTTTGCTGGGCGATTTGCAGTAGAGTCCCGACATCAATATTAACTAGAGATGCGTATTTCCTATGGACGAATTTAGGCAATTTGGTTCAATAATTAGTCTGACAACAGACGCCATTTTGGCACGCTGCATGAGCAGCCCGCAACCACCTGGAGAATTAATAGAGTCGCACAGTCAATCGCATTGAAAAAATAATAGGGTCGGCAGAAAAAAATAGGGTCGGTCGGGAACCGGAACCACAGGGGTTTTTTTACGCCTTGTCCTAATACAATTACCGGATGTCCTAATACAATTACTATTTTAAAAAATTTTCTCCCGCTCCATACAGCAAAAATTTCCTTTGTGGGAGAAGTGTGTGAATCATTTTTTGAACGACCCACTCTAAGGGGGGTGGTTGAAGGAGGGGGTGGGGAACAAGTTTTCCATGGTGACAAAGTTGGAATTTTTAAGAGGGGGTGAAGGAGAAAGTGCAAATTTTCAGGGGATTTTGGTGCAGATCATTTGTTGGGTGTAACCCATTGCTATCACCTGAGAGCTAAGCAGACAGGAAATCCTCTTTGAAATTCTCTAAAAATAACATTTCTAGCTAAATTACCTCCCATGGTGGTACACTTTCTCGAAACTTCTCATTCACCATCACAACAATCGACATTGTATGAGCCAATGAAGCCTGCATTGGTTAAAATAAAGAATTTATTCATGCTAGAAGACAAACATATATAACTTTCAAAAAAACTTCTAAGTCATGTACTGTACCTGGTCTGCATTGAAGTTTGGCCACAAATAATTTTCCAAGTATTGACTAAAAACAATAAAACCACTCCTTAGGCCATGTGAAAAAACCTGCTTCATCATCTTGGACCAGCGTCTGTTTTTCATTCCGCATGGAATTTTATTTTCTATTAATTTCAGCACTTTTTTTCATCACAAAACTTGCAATAAACCCACCTTTCATGACATTAAACAGTGCAGAACCCAACCAGTAATACAACTTTTATTTTGTTAACCACTTTTTCAATTCATTGTTATATTTTAAATAGCCTACGTGGCAGGCCCTCAGTTTTATGGGGGGCCTGATTTGCAATGAGCAGGATTTTGGCGGGCACGGGGGAGGCCTGCCCGTTGCAAATCAGGCTCCCCATAAAACTGAGGGCCTGCCATGCAGGCTATATTTTAAACTGTTCCAATTTTCTACAATGTGTTGCTAACCTGCTTTCATTTCAAGTTGGCACTTTTGCAAGAAGGACTGGTCCTTAGATGGTACATTATTGGTGTACATTATTTTGATGGTAACTGTTGATTTCACATAACGTTTCCCTGAATGTTGCAAACTTCCTTCCGAACTTTGTTGCGAAGTCCACGAGTTCATATTGATCATGCAAACCAGGTCGTAATTTTTGTTCAGCAAATTTGTGAATTTCAGAACAAACTTTTGAACTTTGCAACAAAGTTCACAACATTTAGGGAAAAATTATGTGAAATAATGACTTACCTAAACTCCAAAAGCATTACTCGTTGAATTGAAAAACTACATAATGAATGATATAAAAAGAAATTGTAAATTGGTGATGAAATTGTCATACTAGAATTTAAATTATCAAGTACCTGCATCCTAAGAGATCTTTTTCATAAATTTTGTCTATAACCTAACAACACAGAAACACTGACAGTAATTAATCATGATTTATTGGTTAAACTTTAAACACAATCATTATTGTGTATTATGTGTGCAATTTAACAAATATAAAACATTTTCCGTGTTGATATACAGTTATATCAACACGAGTGGAAATTGGGAAAACGAGAAATTGTATGGAAACACGACGCCCGAAGGGCGGAGTGTTTTCACACAATTTCGAGTTTTCCCAACTTCCACGAGTGTTGATATAACTATATATCAATACAGAAAAAATGTTTTATATTTGTTTTATAATATAGCAATGTCAAAAGCCCGAAGAATAAGAACAATTTCCGTGTTACAAGCTGCGGAAAACCAATCAGCGTTCAGAATTTACAAACGCTATATTATAATTGTAAATAACATACACTAGGGATGAGCCGATAAGGAAAATTGCCGATTACTGAGGCCGATTATTTATAAGCCGATTATTGTAACTAATCGGCCGATTAATCGGTACCCACCGATTATTTTAAAAAGCAAGCGAAAAATCACAAGATGACCAACAATGAAGTTGTAAATGCGGTTTTATTGTTTACAATACACACTTTGTACAATTAAAAACAGCTTCAGTCTCGCATGTCAATAGTCAAAGTTTATAATAAGTTTTTAGACGTTCTCTGGTTTTTAAATATTTATTATTACGAGCTTTCGACTGCCAGTCTGCAGTCTTCAACGGGTGGATTACACTTGAGACAAAAGACACAGGTTTTGCAACAAAATGTGAAAATCTATTCGCTTGTATTCAGTATTTTAGCATGTGATTGGCAGCTGCAGAAAAAGTCTTATGGCCGATTATCAGGCAATAATCGGCCGATTACCGGCTTTGCCGATTATTTACCGATTAATCGGCTCATCCCTAATATACACATAATTACATCAACCGATTTTTATTCGTTTTTTCTCGTTTTCCCCCGGTTTTTCAGGGTTTTTTCGGTTTTCCAGTTTTTTTTCCAAAAGTAACATCAAGTATTTCGGTTTTCGAAAAACATCGTTTTTTTTCGGTTTACCGAAAAACTGCCTCACACTAAATTATTTCCTCCAATCTTTGCCTGAATTACGTTTATAATTTACCCAACTTCATTTTGACTGGGAGACAACTGCCCCTCTCCCTGGAGGCTGACAATTAGAAAATTAGTTATATTACCTTAGGATCATAAGGCAAGTGGTTACGGTGAGGTGCCCAGTATGTATTTGCAACCTAAAAGTTGAGTTGATAATGAAATATTATGAAATATGCCAGTACTGCCACCTTGTTAATAGTGCCACCTTATTAATATTGCCACTTCATTAATAGCTTGCTAATGGTACAATCTCTTCAATAATGGTACCATCTCGTAACTTCTCACTAACATAGCACTGCCTCAGTTGCTTAATGGCACCAAAATGGCACTACTTTGTCAATAGCTCCACCCTGTTGATAGCATCACCCAAGTGTGGAAAGTTTGTATCGGGCGGCGGATAACTCTGGCGCGCAATTTTGATGCTTTCTATATATTTATCATTAAATTTTCAAAATCTCCAGAGCGCAATTTCCAAACTTTCCAGTCAGGGCACCACCTCGTTAAGGGCACCACCTCGTTAATACTAATAGAGTCACATAATTATTACCACCACTAATTATTAAGAACTTGGACGTGCGGTAAATGTTTGCTAAATATTTACTATTAAATTTTCAAAATCTCGGGTGCGCAATTTCCAGACTTTCCAGTCGGGAAAATCCGATAATGACGTCTATGAAAATAATGAAATATCTCATACTTGTGTTAATATATCAGCATTTATCTGTTGAACTGTTGGCGCAAAACCACCCCGACGTCCTTTGCCTTTCTCTTTCACCATACTGTATAAAATTAGTCCAATTTTTTAACAACAAGACAAGCACGTGAGCTCGTTCTGGTGTGCAATGGCTGTTATGGCTCCACTCCTCTCACAAATTAAAGGTCGTTTTCCAAGCGTTCTCTAAAAATTTGCATCGACTTCAGGGTGAAAGTTTATTCCTTGGATGTACCTCTTGTATATTTTCTGAAATCAAATATACTGCGTAGTAGAGACTGCTTTAATTTTGGAGTTTTTTCCAAAATTTTTCGATCATGAAACGTTTCGAACGGCAGACATATTTAGAGACCAGTCTTTCTTGAGTGTCGCGCGGACAATTGTGAAATTGACACTGACCTTACTTATGAATACAACTGGAGAAACTAGGGTAATGAAGGCATAGAAATAATGGTGAAGGCTATTTCAGATACGGTAGAGCACCTAGTCCCCAGGCCTTTACCAGCGCGACCGCGAAATTCAATATGGCGCCAAGCTAAGGAGTGGAGTTTAAATGGAGTTTATATTCTATAATTTCTATTGTTGTGTTTTGATCTTTTTATTCTTTTTGGTTGGTAGAACTTATATTCTGATATGCCAGGTATCTTACTCTTTACCTGATTAATCTGAAAAAAGATTTTATAAAAGAATTTTTCTCAAACATAGTTTAAATTAATATCTATATGTTTCAGTGAATTATGCTTTAAAAGTAAAAAATAGATTGGCCAAGATAAGAAATTTTTGACACTTTCAACTTCAATTTTGAAAACTGTAATAACAGCCTAGTTTATATTCCATAATCCACAGAGCTTGAAAATCCATGCGGAATGTAGTAATGTACAAATTATTGACTTTTCGAGTGAAGTTCTGTTTGAATTTTTCAGGTACTAAGTTATATATAGTTATCTTGCTATTGTCTCTATCTAGCCTGGCACAGACCGTTCAAGATTGCACTGTTTAATTAGCACCAACACTAACAGTCATGGTGGCAGGGATGGATCCAGCATGATCTGGTAGAAGGGGGGGGGGGGTTTGATCTGCCAGCTCTAATGCCGAGTTATGTTGGTCATGCATGCCACCCGCCCATCAACTTACAGGTCAAGTCTTGCTTGACTACTGTATTTGAATTGTAATTGTTGTTCACAGTTTGCTTCTTATCATGTTATCGATATCACTCAAATTACTGTATCTCATTTTGTCTCTATAATATTTTTTTGTTTTATCATGAAAAATAGCACTCCCCCCTGGCCAGGGCTAGGGAGTTGCACCCCCCCCCAGTAAATCCATCCCAACATACAGTTGGGTTTATAGGGGGAGGGGAGGGGGGTTGACGGAGGTAAACACCCTTGGCCAACATGGGAGTGTAAAAATCTAAAGGGGGGGGGGGCACTTCAAATTTAATTTACCATACATCTGAGCATTTGAGATATTGTATATAATTAGTATTACAAATATATTGCCACCTTGTAACCTTAGATATTTCATGTGGTATGTGTAATTGGGAAGTATCTTACTTGTCAAGCAATGCCGGGTTCAGAGTCCTCACCTGTTCTCCTAGCAATCAACAATATACAATTTTAATGCCAAATTGTGTGCCAACATGCAAAATGGACTCTGCACAGGTTGTGCACTACCTTTTCATTTCATGCTGGGTGAACATTATAGTGAGGATAGCAAAAAAAAACATATTCACAACTAATGTGTCCTCTTTTACTACTTTTGTAATTGTCTTGTTCCATGACCTAAATAAGCTAACACACTTAGTAGCTCATGCTTACCTTTCAACCGGCACATTAGCAATGGCCA